TAGTTACTGGTAAATAAAGGCAGTATTATGTTAGTTATGTTATAATGATTTTAAACGACAAAACTTGGGTGAAATATTTTAGATATTTTTTGTGTTGTTCTTTGGTCGAAATTTGAATTTCACTTTAGTAAAAGTATATGAGGAAGTGTTTAAGTTTTGTCTGATTTTAATTTGTATATTCATATTTCCGTCTAACAATTTTACAACCAATCAAAAAGTTAAGATAATACTCAAATAAATTTTGCAGGGCTTCAGCTTCATTATTTTTTAATTTATCTTTAGTTTTAAATTGGTAGTACTTTATAGTTATAGTATTTATGCAAGAATCACTCACTTTTCACAGATATAGTTTCAATTAATGCCGATTTATTTATGTTCCTTTCAACACATTTAAATGTGAGACTTGGTTTCACAGGAATGAAACTTGTGACGGAGTCTGAGAAGGCACAATGGGTAGGAAGGGATAGGGTAATTGGGTGCGGATTTGATCCGAGGCACAAAAAGGTTTTCTTCACATTGGACTCAGAGTTGGTGCATGTCATTCACTGCCAGTCAGAGGAATTTGCCACTCCACTGTGTCCAACTTTGGCTGCAAATATAGACATTTTGGTTTTGGTCAATTTTGGACAAAGTGCATTCAAATATGCACCTGCAAATGCACAAAGAACACCAAATCCATGCTTCGTAGCCCCACTTGTAAATTCCCCTGGTGCCACCCTTGGCTATGATGACAGCAAGGAGCTCTTCTCCATGGGAAGGATTGATTCTCAGTGGCTTAACAGATCTGCAAACAAAGGAAACCACCCCAATGGGAATAATACTCTAGTCTTGGATTTTGATGAGTCTGAGGCTGATCTATTTGAAATAGTCTTAGATGGTTCAGAAAAGTCTCAAGACATAGTGTCATAGCTCATGACAAAGAAAATTATGAATACTTCATATCAATATCATGGTTACCAAAAAAATATATAAATCTCACAGCAAAGGAGGCATAATTGAGTCTAGTTGTCTTGTCTCTGACAATTAACTTTCTCCTTGTTCAAATACCCTTTGGTCTCTTTCTAGTTTCCACATCTGCAACGAGGAGAGAAAAAGATAGAGTCTAGGTGTGCTTCATTTGGACTGCCTCGCCCTCCTCAATGCATCGTGCGGTAACTGGAGAGGATCTAAGTCCATTCAAACATGAGTATGGATTTGCTGCGCTCATACATAACCTTCTGTTAGAATAGTGGATTAAGCCTAACTCAACCCTACAAAACCGGCTTGTAAGGTGAGGGTTGCTTTCCACTTATATACTATTCAATTGCCTAATCTCTAGTCGATATGGGACTTGGGTTAATAGTGCTTGGTACGTGGATAAATGGTGGGTGGCCCTTTTTAATGATCTAGGATAGGCAGGACTTGGGTTTTTTCCCAATACACCCCCTCATGCCTATGGCACATGCATCAATGGTGGGTGGCCCATGTAAAGTGGATCTAAATGGCTCTGATACCATGTTAGAATAGTGGATTAAGCCTAACTCAACCCTACAAAACCGGCTTGTAAGGTGAGGGTTGCTTTCCACTTATATACTATTCAATTGCCTAATCTCTAGTCGATATGGGACTTGGGTTTTTCCCAATACCTTCATTTGGAAGCATGTTTGGTATCTCATTCATCACCAGAGTTGCATCTTCTGCATCTATAGGGGCTTAATGAATCAGTCCTATGTTCGAATATAGAGAACACACAGAAAGAGGATCATATATATGGCTGACTTTATTGTTAATTGTGGAGAGTTTAACACTGACTAACTAGTCATAATACTTTTTGTATCTTCTTTTCTACTCTTAACATATTTTTCTTTCTTTGGTGGCTAAGCACTTAGTTTTGGTTTTCAGAAGAGAACGGGATGCAGTATATTATACTTTTTTCCATTCTCTTTCAACTTTCTGCCAACATTCTATTTACTGGTCCATGTGAAAGAATATTGCAAAGCGGCACCATGATGAAAAATGTTTAATAACAACACTAACAAAAGTTTTATCTGTTAATTAGTTGAGGTCGATTACAAGGATCACGCGACACCAAGTTAAAGACTAAGTTTTCATAAAATTCCTCTTAATCACAATTTCTTTCTACGTCTTTTTGGTTTCCTTTCCCCTTTTCACACCACTAAAAACCATCTAAAAATTTATGGTGAGTGATTTATATTCGACGAATTTTATGAATTATGATGAAAAATGCTATAAATGTGAAAAAAAAATTCTTTCAGATCATTGCTATAAATAAAACCACGAAAAATCCTTATTATCACCAATATTTCTTAGCCGCAACGATCTTAATTAAAAAATTACAAAAAAGTTATAAATACAACTCAGGATAAACTGCATTATGTGCAATTTCCTGTTACAGATGATTCAGCATTCACGAGGTCATTTTCAGGTGATAAGCATTTCCATTTTTTTGTTGGAAAGATTTGGTTCTAGCAACGAAAATTTGAAAATGAAACCAACTATAATAACATTTAGTTTGGTAACTTTCAAAAAAAAAAAAACATTTAGTTTGGTAAGTATCTAGCATTTGACAATCGATATAAAACAATATTATCAAAACATATTTGCGTGTCAATATTCTTCTAAGGCCAGAATAAAGAAACCACTTATCGTAGTTGATGGCCGCATGTCACCAAACCTTTAAGTCAACAAGGGTGTGTGTGCCTCGCAAACTCGCAATAATCATTAATTATACTCTTCAAAAAGATTCATTCGTCTCGCTCGACACATAATCTTCGTAACCCTCACTAAAATAATCTTTATTATCCTACTTTCCGTTGGTTTGACAAACATTTTTCAACTAACTACCATTGGATAGCAAAATTATTGTGAGGTGCATTTGATTAAATTAAGCATCGTGAGCTTCACCAAGTATGATTTTCAAGGAACCACGCCAAGGCACTAAATAAGTGATATTATCCTTATTTAAAATATAGTTTAGGAAACAAAAGTATGTTATTAGAGCAATCATACCAAAAATTGAAAGATAATTAACCTTAACATTTGTATCATGTCTAGAGAGTGTCTACCGTGTTATATATACTTGAGGAAACCAAGAGACTGTCTACCATACCATGTTATATACATCAACCCCGTACCTTAACCCACAGTGATATTGGTCGTAGTGAAAGTGAACTATGATCCCAGAAAAACTTTAATTGTACTATGATGTGTTGATGATGGTTAGTCTCACCACTACCAGTGAAAGCCAAGAAAATTCCCTACCTTAATTATGTGCGACTCTTTTATTGTATCAAACTTTGCCCACTTAATATGGCATTACTATACTAGCTACTAGCATGAAGCTCCACTACCTTTCCCATTGTTCCTTCTCTCAGTCATTTTTGAGCTGAACATCATTTATGTTCTCTCTGCACAAGGAGATGTCAGATGTGATCAAGAAATCGTTGAATTAGTCCTTACCTTCTCAAACTTTGCTGCCGTTGGTCACGGTCAGACAACATGCATGGTCATGTGCTGAAGCTATTTTCTCATATCACATTAGTTTGCGAGACCCATTATTGTTGTGCCATTAAGGTATTCACACAACTCAATGAACTTAATAATCTGAAGAAAGAGTTTAAGTGGATAACTAAATTTGTTTCTGTTTTCAGTGCCGTAACATATTCAATATATGACCTTCTAAAAGTTACTTTAACCCTATATCCACTTGCAATTTTCCACATAAACTCTTCAAGGAACTTCTACCTGAACGAAGAATAATTTCCTTTGGTGAAAGGACTAAACCTTGAAAATTTCATTGTTAGAGGACTAATGCAAAAAAATAGAAAAAAAAAACGATGAAAATCTTAATACCAGTAATGTAGTTGAAAAAAAATCAGGAAAATCTACCTAATTGCCTTTTCTTGATTGTGTTTGCGTTGACCACAATCTGATTAGAGAATTAGTTAAAAGTAAACCTTCACTTAAATAAGCTAAATGATCTGAATCGGGATACGCCATTATGTAATATGTGACTCTTTAAATTTTATCCAGTATTTGAGAAACAATTTTGTACTTCATTTTTAAGATATCAATATGTAATTTTTTTTCCCTTGCTTAGCATTTTTCCTTTCCTTTCATGTTATTGTTGTTGCTGTTGTTCTGCCAACCTTATATTGATGCTGAGCACAAACAATGAAGTTCTTTGTTGCTCCACCGGTTGTAACCGCATGCAGTAGGAATATCTGCATGAGTACTTTAATTCTCAAATTAATGTTTATTCCAGCAGAATAATATAGTATATAGAGGAAATAGCATACCTAATGTAGCTTAAGTGGCTTAATTATAGGATTTCGCTGTAGGTGAATAACAATGCGAGGTGAGGAACGCATAATCCCCACATCAGTATTACCCGTGGAATACAGGGGATCAATAAAGAATATTTTGGAAACCCTAATATGTATGCAGTATCATATTGCATCTGATTTTCCAGCAGTGTTGTACCAAGTGAAGCACTTCCGGGAACATTTGTACTTTATGCATGTCGTCGGGTCAACACAAATTAACCGTGCAGTTCTGAACCCATTGATTAGATCCAGAACAATTATTCTTATCGCTTGAGTGAGCTCAAATAAAAAATGGTAAAACAATGCGCACTAGTTATGTAAAGCTGTGGCCGATGCAATATTAGAGTCACCACCCCAATTCATCTCACAAATTATCCTTGGCTCAAATCGGTAGAAATTTCATATGTTATGCTTTTCTGTTATAACTTCTAGGTAAAATTGCTAATATACTCATTTTCAACATGCAATAACAGTATATTAGGCTTTAACTCTTGAAATGTTTCAAATTTATATAGTAATTATTATAGCTTTCATGTTAATAGTTAATAGGTTTAAATAAGAGAGGGGGGGTGTTAAGTGCAACTAGAAACATAAGCAAATTGGATTGGAAAGAAGACATTACGAATAAGACAAGTTTAACTATTATAAAAGGAAAACAACTTTGACTGCGTATTCAATGGTAAGGACCTTCGCCAGCTTTACTGTGGAACAGCTAAACTAATGAAAAATGTAATATTGATACTTTTGATATCAATGTAATTCATAGACATATTCCCCAGCTCAAGAAAAGAAACATTAAATATTTATTCTACGACTTTAGACAACCAATGAGCAACACGCGCAAAAGACTGTTACCCTAAACTAGAACAGAAAATACTACACAAGTTACGAACTACAGGACTATATCTATTGCCTGGATTTCAAAATTGCTCACCTAAACATGGAATAGAACTTATGTTTCGGTACATAGTAAGATGCAAAAGAAAGGTGTAGAGCGTTCAATTATGACCACCCAGGACTGATGCTGCAACCTTTTTCAATGATTCAGATGCCTTGAGCAGATCAGACTCTGAATGCCCTGCAGAAACAAACAATCTAATTCCTACAGGCAAACGGCATTTGTCCAATGTTGATCTTTTGGAAGTCACCACAAATACAGATTCTTCTTTCAAAACCTGCGAATACACAATATTAAGTACAATCAAAATTGAAACCATGAAATTAAACATTAACAAGCACCATCCATTACCCGTTCGGCTATATTTTCAAGCAGATTTAGGTCATCTTTCATGGAACCAGTTGATTTCTCTAATCTTAAATAAACAATGGGCGACTCTGGGTTACTTGCAATTGTGATGCCTGGTATTTTTGACAATCCTGCAGTGGCACGAGTGTATCTCAAATCATAGTGCTTAACAAAAACAAATAAATAAATTTTTTGTTTACACGAGTGAAAAACAAACACAAATAAACAACAATTCAAACACAAGCTGAGTGGCCACTACAATTCCATTTAGGAATCCAACAGTGAGATCAAAGCCCACCTTTCCTTAACAACGTAATATTGCTCTTCAGCTTTGTTATTAGATTGGGATTTTCCTCCAGGACATCAATAGCAGTAATTGCAGCGCTTGCAAGATAAGGGGGTAAAGAAGCAGAAAATACGTAACCAGAGCTACTCAATCGCTGCCAAGGTTGAAAATAGAGATATAAGAGAATGGAAAATGGATGAGAAATAATTCCCATCATCAAACAATAAATTAGTGACAGCACAACTCTCCATCACGCAACTTTTACAGTTAACACCAATAAACTCAGGAATAAGTGGTGAAAAGTAAATAAAATGAAAATTTTTCCATGAGAATAAATTCTTAAATTTCACCATTTACAAATTTCTTTTTTAATTATACTAAGAAACCTAACATTACTCGTAGATGGTTATTGCCTTATTCGTTATATTATATAATATATATCACATATGATATGAAACTTCCTTACCTGGTGATCTATAACTCTTGCATTTCCGGTGCAGAATCCTCCTTCTGTAGCCAATGCATGTCCCATTGAGGCAGTTATAATGTCTATCTTCTCAGCCTGCAACACGTAACCATAAATCACAAACAGCAATACTAGTTTGAATATATGAAAACTTGCATGTAGTGTGAGCATATCACACTCAAACAAAGAAATTCAATACATACCGGAACTCCATAGTATTCAGTGAGACCTCTTCCAGAACTTCCAAGCACACCCAATGAGTTGCTCTCATCCAGCAAAACACGAAAACGATGTTTTTCCTTCAATTTAATGATCTCATCCAAGGGTGCTATTTGGCCAGAATTCTGAAAAATATTACAGTGAAAAAGATATAAACAGGTATCAGTCAAGCAATTCTTGTTATCATGTAGGCAAGGCATGAGTATAGACAGATCCTAATACAGAAAAAATAACTCTCAAAAGTTGGGCCAGGCCTAACTAAATCCAACAAAACCAGCTTATAAGAAATACTTGGGCCATATCACTGACATATATGGGACAAAACACCAAGTCCAAGTCATAAGAACTACTTAGGCCATATCACTAAGCAATATGGGACAAAACACACCCGCTTGCACCAAGCAATGAAGGTGATGGAGGTTGAGGATACAGTGCAGCCCAAAGAGACTGTAATTAAGACAGGTTAGGAGAGACCACAATTAAGGCGGCATTCCAACAAGAACTTAAAATTTAGAATGGTTAAGAAAACCAAAGCAACACACATTTTGCTGATTTGCAACATCATGTTGACTCTTTTAAAAACAATATGAATAAAACAAAATTTAGAAAATAAATGAAAAAGAGGCAGAAAGGTTGTTCAGCACTTAGCAGCAATTACAAGATTATTTCTCTTAAGAGATTTAAAATCCATCATTAGCCTTCACTTTAACAACTTATGTTTTTAGGAGAGTCGATCTTCAAGCCTTCACCAATCATGTTCCCCGATTTTTTTTTCTAAATAGTCAAATTTTAAAAAAAGGCACAGAAGGCAGCATACGCATTATTCACACTTTAAGCCTATGGGGCTCTTGCATGAAGTAGCGCATTAAAGATATAAAATTGATCACGTGTATTGATCTAAAAGCTTACATTTATAGGAGTTAGTTATTTACACATCCATACTACATAAGAATGATAATAAAGGCACACAAGTGCATCCATTAAAGCATGTATCAGATTTATAAGTACTTTCAAGCATATAGATTTGTGTCCTTTTGAATGCCCAAATAATTACAAGTTCATTGGATAATTATATAAAAACAAACCACGGGAATGCCACTTTTAAGGCTGGAAGTTTATTTCAAATTCCAATCCATCATAATTATCTTCGATTTGCATTTGTTGACTGCCCTACTATTTCAGCAGCACTGGTAGTCCATACAGAAAAAAATTACCAATATTACCGGTTGCAAGAAGCAGCAAGCAATTCAAACTGCTGCTTGTTTTAAAGCTAAAGGTTGTGATGCTAGAACTCCTCTATAAGCACAATGTAGAAGTGTAAAGCTAATCTATCGTATGCATGATAGACAAGACTTACCTGGTAGACAGCTTCAATAACAATATAACGCCTCAAATTCTTGGTCCGCTTGTATTTGGTAGTAATTTTCTCTAGAGTTTCTCTTAAAGAGTCCATGTCATTGTGCTTAAAATACACCACTGTGCTTCTAGAAAGATAAAGGCCATTCTGTATTCCCCAGTGGACTCCTTCATCCCTGTAAAAAATAAAAACTTACAGAACATCATAAATTCAGAATTTACATTAACACAGCCTCTGTTGATCAGCTGGTACCAAGTGAGCAACTAAATGGAGAAATGATTCAGTTTGTTCTTTATACCATTATAATATAGAAGCATAAGCAATGATATGAAACCAAAGAAAATAATTTTATGTGATGTCAGTGCCCACTATAAAATATAAATAAATGTTATGAGACCAAAAAAATTGTGGAAAAACTGAATATTACATCATAATATATATTTAAGACAAACTTATGCATACTTACGCTACAATTATATCTCCTTTCTTAGAGAAAGCAGGAATTGCACTGAACATGGTGGAAAGTCCATAAGAGTACAGAATTGAATCAGGGGTTCCTAAAAACTTTGCTATCCTTGTTTCACAGTCAAGGTGGACATCTGGGCATAGGAAAAGTATCATAAGAAACAAAAGCATTGCCTCAAAAACAATCTTTAAGATTGAATCTTACCAATTGTCCCATAAAACCCACGGGGACCACAAGAACCAACACCATATTTCGCTAAAGCAGAAGAACATGAGTCCTACAAGAAAGAGTAAGCATAAATTAAGTGCATCAACCCAGTGCTCCAAAAAAAAGGAATTTATTAGGGATATGGAGACCATTTCCTTACAAGTAGCTTTGGATGACCAATAAAACCAAGATAGTTTGCTGAAGCAAAATTAACAACTTCTTTTCCATTAACTATGGTATGTGGCCCAGCAGCACTGCATACAAAAACACATTATTTTATCTTTGACTTTGAAAAGTATAAGGGAGGCATTAAATCATACGGAAGGCTTTGTTAAATATACATACTTTTCAAACGAAAAAAAGGCAAGAATTTTACAAGTCTAGAGGGTTATTCAGTCCCAAGCCTCTCGTTATAGTGGATTTGGATAGGGTCTTACTCTTATATTGAAACCTTAAACCAGTGAGCTGAAAAGAGAGGTTGTTTCTGTTGCTATAACCCAAGACCACTATAAAGACAATAAAGACCAAAGATCACCATGTCACAATTCACAAGGTGGAACCCTTACCAAAGCACTAGATTTCTCCCTCAAAAAATTTCATGAATCCAAGTCACGAAAAATGTAACCATGGCAGTGAATTTGACAAGCATAAAACAATGTGATAAATTCCAGATTTCATCAAAGAAATGTTTAAGACACTAAAAGTAAAAAAACAAACAAGGTTACTGCAACCAAAGAAAAGAAACCACCTCTCCAGCACTGGCGGTTCATACTGCAACTCTTTATCAAGAGAAGGAATAAGGGGTCCTGGAACCCATTCCTCACATAACTCATCAATTTCCTGCAGATATTAATCATAAAATTAAAAAGAATGACAAAATACAATAACATGCTGAATCTCAGATTGCATTGTACAAGAGTTAGCATGGAATAATATGCTTGCAGAATTAAGTCATAAGTATTCCTTCAAAAAATATGGCAATTAAGTCCTTTAGAAAATAGAAAATAACAGTAACTACTGAGATTCCACACAATAACCGGGAGAAATGAAATTCTACTAGTTATAATAAATTAAATACAGAAAGAGGCCGAAAATTTTAAATTTTGAATACATATCTTAACAGAATTCAATATTTTAAGCAGTGACGGCTCACAGACAGAGCGAACAAATTGCTGAGCAAACAAGAATCATATCATTATCCCCCAGTATCCATCTTAACATGGATTAATCTTCTTTTATAACATATATCATATTTTCAAGCACCAAGAAGTGCGTAAAAAATGCCCATACTGAAGCACTCATTAGAATGAACACCAGATACAAGACGAGGGAGAGAGAGAAGACAGTGAGTTACAGGTCAGGTACAAAAGATAGCTATTCTTTAGAAAAAACAATAACAAAGTTTGAAACAAACAAAACCTTCAACTCTCACATCAAGTATTTGAGATCTTCAAAAAATACCATCTCAGCTACATTTCAGATATATGCATAGAACAACTCAATATTGCCAGCAAAGCTACCAACATAATACCAATTACAAAAGCATAAACCTCCTATGCTAGAATTTCAGTATAGACTAAACAATCATCCACTTTGGGATATGTTTCTAAAAAATTACAAGAGCACAAACAATCATCCACAAAGCAAGTGCGGATAATTATAAAGAGAGCTGGTATTATTCAACCATGGAGAGCTCCAACCTTCACAAACTGAAATCTATAGATTAATTAACCTTGCGAGTTTCAAATCCTCATAAAGAATAATAAGAAATGCCCCATGTCAGGTCCCTAGATAGGACTACTAAAAACCACAATAATTGAATGTCCAATACTCTATTTACATTGAAGTTTTTGAATAAATTATAAAATCTAAACATCAACGGAAACCATTTTTCAGCTGCGCAATATACTGATAACAACTTCACATGCAATTTAAAGGTGAAGTCTGCTTGAATTTGGAGAAGAAATAGGCAAAAAAAAAAAAAAAAAAAAGCGATTACATCAAGGAAATAAAAAATAAAAACATTTCATAATCAACTTAATTTTCACACAATAATTGCTCCAAAAGCTCTAAATCACATTCAATAAATAAATAAAACCTTTAATATATATATATATATATATATATATATATATATAAATGCATAAGAAAGAGATAAATAGTGCTGTTGAACTAACCTTGTTTGTTAATGGCCTTTTAGGAGGCTTGTAACTTTTCTGTGAAAGCAAGAAAAGTATGACCACCAGCAGAAAAACCTCGATGAACAAATGTCCTTCAAACACAACAAGGTATAAAATAAGAGAATTAATTACATTCATAATTATGATCCATCAAAAGCAAACAAAAATAAATTTGCATGGAGGAAATGAAAAATTACCCCCGATATGGACTCCAAAAACCACAGCTCGCGCAGAAGGAGCGTCCAACGCAAACTTGACGCAATCCAACGTCGCGTTCATGAAATTCATGACGGCTGAGGCCATCACAGTGTCCATATCTCGATCCAAATCGCAAGGAACCTTTCGGAATCAGTCATGCATGAAAATTCGCAGCCTCAAATCACTGCAAAACGGAACAGCGACGTGAACGTTGGAAACGACGACGAATCGATTGCGCTGAGATTGAAAATTGTCGGATCCGTGCAAAGAAAACGGCGTAACGCACCTGGCGATTGGGAGGGAGAAACGAAGCGAGATTCAGAAGGAGATGCGAAGGAGAAGAAGAGAAGAGAAGAGAAGAACGGAAAGGATTAAGGAATGGCAAATAAGGAATTTCGATGAATAGTCAATCGAGAGCTATGATGAAGCCACGTCACACCAATCACTTAACGGTTCTCATCACGCACGCCAAGTCTTCCTCCTTCTTCGTCTCTTCCTTAACTCGTTTTCTATTTTTCTTTTTCACCAGAAATTTCGCCTCTTTTCTTTTTAGACTACTTCTGCGTGGATGTGGAATATGATAACAACATTAAATGATGTGGATTGAAATTTTAAATGTAATTTAGATATTTTATAATCAAGACGAAGGCTATACATCGATCATATATATTATGACATTGATAAAAAACAAAAAAAATTGTAATTTCTAACATATAACTTTATCATTTTGTTATTAGAGTGTGTTATTTATAAGAATTTTATGTGTGTGCGACATGATGAAGTGAGTAGAATAGAGAGTATAAATAGTGAGGATAACCAGAAATTTTATGTTGCGGGAATACACATTTATAAATTAATGGGGCAATACTTATATTATAATTTTTTTAATTACATTTTAAATCATAGAGGTAATTTTTATACATTGTATTAAGATAAAATAAAAATCTTGTGGGCCTGCTGCTACCAAAACCTCTAATAGACTAATACAAATTGGACCCTATGTGTACCTTTCGCATATTAGGCTTTCTTATCACTTTTTTTTTTAATTAACCAATGAAATGAAAAGAAAGGCTTTCTTATAACTGGGTAGGTATAAGTACATGTTGAGTTAGGGGCATTGCCCCCTAAGTTTTTTAAATTTTTAATACGTTTTTTATTCTAAAATTAAGAATATTATTTTATTTAAACTTTATTAGTAAATGTAATATTATAAGTTTTTTTTAAGTATTATTGATTTTATTAACTATGCATTATTGTGTTGAATCATTGTTTGTGTTGACAAACTCTGAAATCTAAATTTTTTTATGAGTTTAGATAATTTTGGGGGTTTTTTTTAGACACAAGTCTAATTTGACCCTAAGTGGAGGTAATATATAAGGTTTTTGTTTATAATTGAACTTCACTAGTTCAAGTCTTTAGAAGCTTAGAGAGATGAACTATAGAGATAAGCTTTGGAATCGTAAGTTCTCTTCGTCTCCAACTTTTCTCTTTATGAGGGTAATCCTTCCCTGTGCCTCATTTGCATTGTATGGTTGTTGATTCAGGTCAGAAAGGACTTGAATATGATTTTTTGATCCATGCAAAGTGGTTGGATGTTCTTCTTTCTTATTTCCCTCCTTCTTCTAGATTTGAAGGTTTTAGAGGTAACTAAAGTTGGATTTTTGTTTTTGGTTGAGTTGTTGGTTTGTTTAGCGAATCCTGAGTTGAGTGTTGTTTGAACCTTTGAAATTTGTGACTTTGTTGGTTGATTTGAGAGGTTGTATGTTGGGGTTTTAGGTTGTGAGATGTTGAAAAAGATTTGAGATTTGATCGAATTATAAGTTGCATGTTTGAAATGGTATTGTTTTTGAGTTGTGCAGAGTATATATGTATGTATTCATATGTTGCATGTTGAAAATGTGTTGAGTTTCAAGTCCTTAAGGCAAATTTATGTTCTATAATCGCAAAACTCTAATGTTGCTCCAAGCACCTTTATAACGTTGAGCGTGACTCACGTTAGAAGCTTTGTGTCTTATTCACGTTGACTGTAGGATTGATGGCATCAGACATGGGTTAGAGAGAAGTCTCTAACTTGGTTACATCGAGTGTAGTGTGAATGGTGTCGAGTGTGAGGAGAGAAAATTGTCTCAAATTAGAATTTTGTTGGGCGCCATTAGAGTGACATTAGGCATGGATCAACTCAAGTCTCTTTGTTTGGTTGGGGTCAAGCGTGGGTTCTTACTATGTTGGGCATGAGGTTTCAAGGGTCTCTCCCTAATTCATGTCGAATGTGAGTTGTGTAACATCGAGCATGGGTGAGGCATAAGATCCCTTGCCTCGATAAGTCAGGCGCTAGTCTCCTTTAGAAAAATTTGTTGGTTACCTTATGAAGTGATTAATGTGAGCTGACTAAGTTGTCTATTGCATACAATTAGTACTAAATGTTGTTTATTCTATATATATGATATATGAAGATATCTAAAGATGATCGAGGGTTGAAAGTTGGAAGTTGAGTTGAGTGTATGTTGTGTGATTGTGTAGTTGTGTTGAATATTTTTTATGCATGATGTTGTTATGTTGTTGAGATGATGAATGTTAAGAATACTTTAAGCATTTATACATGGTGTTGAAAGTTGTACTATGTTGGTCAACCTAGGACTAGAGGAAAGATTATTTTGAAGTTGTATATCTTATTGTGTAGATATTGTGTTATGGTCCTTCGAGAGCCTAATTTTGTTGAAAACCTTTCTTAGGATGTTGGCCTTCAAAGTGGAAATTTTTATTTCCTCTAGGACCTCAGTTGATGTGGTATGTGAGCTAGGTCAAGACATATTAACTATAAGTGATCAATGTTGATTTGTATGTAGGCAAGGACAAAATATACATGTATAAAGTGACCAAAAAATTTAAGTAAAGTACAAGGTCGAGGATTAAAGTTCCTAACTAAGAGTCAGAAAGGCATGGTATTTGGAAGGTAACCGGCAGACTAATCCTATAGGTGGTTTAGTAATGCTAGCTAATGTTGTGGTAGACCCACATTCAAGTTGTTTTACCTCGATATGAATACTAGACTTCATAGTTTAAGTGACAACACTTAAGAAACCATATTGTTAAGAATTGATATTCCATTTGGCTATTGACCTAGTTGGATTGAAAATGTTAGGTTATTTGTTCGGTAAGGTCAAATAACTTAAACTACTCACTTGTGTTATAGGAGATCTCCTAGTTGTAATATGTGACAACACATATAGTTACTATGTTGTATATATTATCATTGAGTTAAAATTTGAGTTGTTGATGTTGTGTTGTTCATATGAAATGTGAAATTATGATTATGTTGTATTGCAATTATGGAGTTAATGACGTGGTGTATAAGTTGAAATATGTGGTATTATGTAAAAGTTGTAAGTTGGCATTGTGTTACAATAAGTTGAGCAATTCATGTTGATTGCATATTTGCTTTATTTCTATACTAATTATATTGATTCTTTAAACTCTAATTTATCCTTATGTGTTTTTATATAATTGAACTATGATAATCATACTTAATATGAGAGTAAAGTAGGGATAAATTACTATTGAAGTTGTTTGGAGGCCATGTGATGTTGGTTATGTTGATATTTTGTGTTACCTTGGAGTAGTTAGTAGCTAGTAGTTGTGTTTGACTCACACCTAGAACTGCACTTGCAATTATATGGATGATTGTATAATTTTATACCCATGTATACGAATGTTTAGTTGTAAATATGTATGTATATATGTTAACTATTGAGTATCCATTAACTGTCTAATGCTATCATTAAATAGTCATTTATTTTCTTTTATTGAATTGTTAAGTGTAAGGATTATAGTGGGTTGTTATTATAGAAGTAAATATATTTAATTATTCTTTTATAGTCTCATTGTAAGATAATGACACTATTCTTTTATGCAAATATTTTTTTATATAATTTTATTACGGAGATATTATATTTTTTTTCCATATAAACAAAGTACTGGATCATTTAGTTTACGCTTTAACATTTTTTTCGTGTGTAAATCATTCTTACTATTTTAAAAGCTATAAATCAATATTAAAATGATTTGATTATAATTAATTTAAAATTAAAAAATATTTATTAATATTTGTAAATCAAGTAAGTTTGTGAACATTATATAAGATGTTACACCATTATCTAATCTTTAGAAAAGTTAATATCTTAAAACAAACATTGATAGGATGTAAAATGACATTTATACAATTATTTTTTTAATATTTAATTTATATTTTTATATAAATATATTTTTATTATATATTTTTCATTTATTTAAAAATAAATAATTATAAATATTTTTTTCATAATTTTAACATTTATATATATGATGGATAAATTTTAATTTTGTTAATCCCTTATATATGGTCTCACCTCCGTATCTGCTTACAAGTTATAAGATCTTATTGGATTATAATTTAAGATAATATTTCTTTTAATCTTATTAGTATAAAGTATTTACTGATTTCATTAATGATTATTCTTGATCAAAAAACTTGGCTTACCACTTTTAAAATAATATTTTTGTACGAAGGTGTGTGAGAGGAAAAATTAAGTAATCTTAAACTAATTTTTATATGACATGTAATTAAATATATTTTTTGTATGTAAAATGCAAAACTTGAATGCATATTATATGTTGATCGGTTAAGATTATGTAACATGTGCTTTTGGATCAAACTCTTTGATTCTGGATAGTCGTCACTAATGATTATAAGGTTATATTCTTTGTTTGACATCAAAATGCGCTTAGTATAATTATTATTGTATTAACCTCGTCGACAATGTAATTTTGGTCATACACTTATACACCAATTTCGTTGGATAACGTAAGTTTGACCATATATTTTGTTATTGTCGCATTGATGACATCGAACATTTATATTGTCAAGATGATATAATAAGTTCATATACCAAGTTCATGTGTCAACATGTGGACTTAACACACAATAATTGTAACAGTTACAAAATTAAAGAAAATGGACAGATGTAGTTAATACAAAAAAGAGGTACGCGTCATATAAAGAAAAAGAGAAATTATACAGGACATCTAAACTAAATTGATCGTTGGAGTGTTTTTGTAGATATTAACACTATTCTAAAATAAGGAATCGATCAGATTCATTCCAACCTCGAAGGAGAAGACTGAAGATCAATCTTATGAGATAAACTCTTTGTTTAAGTTTATCTTGGTAAAAAATAATTATTATTTTGACTAAAAGGACATAAGAAACACATGTATTGTTGTACAATAAAAAATTATTCTCATTGTATTGTAAATTTGTGATGGTGTCAAATGTCATAGGTATTTTTGTCAAGTAATAAAATTTTTAAAAAGTGAAGAATTTAAATAGTAAAATAGGAGGATACAAATCATAATTCCCTTAAATGTATCTTTGAGTCCATTTTATTTGTTTTTTTGTCAAGCAATAAAATTTTTAAAAAGTGAAGAGTTTAAATAGTAAAATAGGAGGGTATGAATCATAATTC